AAAAACAGTTTTAGTGCTAAGTAGAAAATATTAGCTCCTCTACTTTAGATTTCTGTTTCTTACATAAAAGCTACACATAAAGACTGTTTTGTCACAGTATCTGTTCAGTGTGCTTTTCTTTTAGAGTTTAATATTTCCTGCCTTCACTTAAATGAAGAAAAAATGTAGAATTTTTTCTGTTTGATGCACTATAATAGATATTTTTTTTAATAGATATCATTTTAAAATGTGACTAAGAAGCTCCAAACTTAAGCAGAGTCTTCCTTATTTAGCAGGAAATATTTAATTCGTCTTGTTAAAAATAAACTCAAAAAAAAAAAAGAAAGAAAGAAAGAAAGTAAGAAAAGGAAAGGAAAAAAGCCCACCTGGAAATTTTCCTTATTTCACTGAGGAAAAAAAAAAAAAATTCTAAACTATAGTCATTCTTCTAACTGTTCAAATACCTTTGTATTTTTTCAAAATAAATTGCCTGGCAAAATCCATAAATATATTTAAGCAGTTTATATAGGTCAGCTAATATGGGTTATGCTTTTTTAAGTACCCTCTGACTAAGCACTCTCTGCATTTTGCTAACAAAGTAACAGTACATAATAATATTTTAATCAACCACAAAGGACAATAATAGATCTGACTGCTGGACTGATAATCGTCTTATCACACCTTGTGAAACCAAGCTCTAATATTTGACGGCGCCTCCATTACTTGGCAGCCCATTCTAAAAAAGGCCAACAATGGAGAGAGAATGAAGTGGAGTGTGCAGTACCTCCGTATCTACATAAAAGAGATTAGAGGCGACAGCGTTCCATTTTACAGCTCAATCATATTGTGTTAGCATGCGCTTATCCGAGCGCGGACGAAATTGAAAGAGAAATAAAAAAGAGGCAGGCAGATAGGAACCAGAAAAGCGAGGCATGAGCAATTTCCAAGGATATAAAAGGATGCTAATGGTGGGGCCCTGTCATTCTTAAAAAGGGCTATTAGGGCACCATCATCTGTTCTGGTGCCCTTATGGTCCCCCAACTAAAGTCAAGCACTTTCTAAAGCCCTTGCGATCTTTTCTCTTGAACAGATAAAGTATGGTCACATTTCATCACAACACACTTTTCCATTTATATGATTTGTTCAAATAAGTCAGCTAATTCTATTCATTGGGGGAAAATCCCACTCCATATGTATTTTTCTTCCCAATTGTCCTTGGTGGAATTTTTTACTATTTTAGGTAATATAAGCAAATATTTATTTAAAAGTACCTTCTCAGCAGGACAGAAAGACTGCTATTATCTTAGATAATAAATTAATTTTCAAAAAGTACCACCTATGTATATGTATTTGCATTATTACACAGACTGAGAGCAGCATAAAGAGAGCGAAGTCTTGAATTTTAGTATATACGTGATGTATACATGTATGTATGTATATGTATACATATATGCATATATATAAACTATTTCACTTTTTAATTTTTCCATAGCATTACAAAAAGTGAGTTTTGAAGTTAAGACTCAGCCAAGTGAAATCTCAAGTTTGATTTGGCTTTAATTCTGGTTCTGCCCCCAGCTATCAGGACTGGGCCATGTTATCAAGAACACCATTTTACTTTTATCAAGGCAGAAATGTGACTTTTATCTTTCTATTGTCTTTGTGCTTGCCCAACATTCATCCTCCCAACTGCTCCTGTGTTCGGCCCTATGAGCCCTACCAGCATCTCCTATCAGAGAATCTCTCCTACCTCAAGACACTGTAAGGCATCCATTGCTAAAAAAATTAAAAGAATTTCAGTCAATTCTTGTTTTGCTAATCCCTCTCTGAAAAGCCAAGATACCACTTGCAATTATTTAAAGCACCCTCGGGGTACAGGAAAACCTGCACTGTGAATCATCACTCCACGATGACCTCCTGTGGCATTTGCTATGGAGAGAGAATAACGTCAGTTCCCACCAATTCTAAGCCTCAGCTTAAGACTGAACACATAATCGTAGAGTAATTGTTTCCACCACTGGAAATGCTGTTACTCATAGTTATTTAAAGTTACTGTCTACACAAAAGTCACTAGAGCCCCTTTACTGTGACAAGTTCCTTGGTAAGCTGACATTTCTACTTAGGCACAATTGGACCCACAAATTCATCACTGACTTTTCTTACAAGAGAATGTGGGAAGGAGTTGTTGACTTTTATTGATCTTTATTATGGAAGGTCTGTACAATATCAAAATGTTGGCTTAACAGGTCCTTTAATTCAGAGGGAGCACGGGCAGAATCCTCTGAACTAATGGGTGGCTCATAGTTGTGATGACATAGTCTTTCATGCTACTGTTATTAATAATAACATGGTCATCATTAGCTCTTGAAATATAGTTCTACCAAACACAGTCAACTGGGAGACTAAACTATCCTCATTCTACTCTAATGAGGAAGTTAGAAGCAAGGCTGGAATTTTTTTTTTAAGATTTTATTTATTTATACAAGAGCTGGGGTACAGGCCAGAGGTGTGGGAGGATGAGAGGATTCACCAGAGACAGAGTGGGGAGCAGAACAGGCAGACAGACCAAAAGGACTGCTGAGGGGAGCAGTAGGCGAGAAAGGAGAGGTCTGGTGCGTCATGTGGGTATCTCCCTGGCCATGCCGTGCCAGGAGTTGAACCGGCTCTACAAAGGCTGCAGACAGCTTCACTGTGCTGCACTCAACCCACTGTGCCACAGGGGAGGCCCTGGAATATATTCTTTGATGGCGCCAAATGAGATGGTGAACTTATGTGTTTTCACCTTTCTCTGCCTCAAATCTCCCTTTTTTTTTTTAAGATTTATTTATTTATTTATACAAGCACTGGGTACAGTCAGAAGCGCAGGAGGGTGAGAGAATTCAGCAGAGCCAGAGCGGGGAACGGAACAGGCAGACTGACAAAGTACACTGCTGAGGGGAGCAGCGGGCGGCAGGAGAGGTCTGCGCGCCATGTGGGACCCTCACCAGGCAGCCGGGGATCAAACCAGCGCTGCAGAGGCTGCGGGCAGCCTCGCAACCCAGCGCTCAACTGCTGCGCAACCGGGGAGGCCCAAATCTCCCCCTCTTTTAATGAAGGATAATGAGATTTTATTTCCAAGTTAAAACAATGGTTATCAACTGGGGAAAGTTAAGGGTTTGCCCCTGACTCCACCCCCCTCTCCCAAGAACATGTGCCAAGATCTAAAAACATTTTTGTGCATTACAATTCAAAGCTGCTAGTGGATGGAAGTCAAGGATGCTGCTAAGCAGGAAAAGTTCCCACAACAAAGGATTATCTGCTTCCAATTATCAACAACGTCAAGGCTTAGAGACCCTGGGCTGGAATAAGGATGTTTTGAATATGTGAATGTATTTGTGCATGTATGTGTATATATGTAACACATAGTGATAGAAAATATATGATGTGTAAATACAAATGATATACATTGATTGTCTAAAAAAAGTGTGTATGGACACTTGAGCCAATGTAGGTTTTTTTTTCTTTCTGCACTATAGCCCCTTTATATCATTTTCTTTCCAAACAAGTTTTCAAATATCCTTTAAAGCAATTATTGCCATAATTCTCAAATGTCTTTCCATCTTTTAACATAACCTCTTTTTGGTATTCTTGCTTTCCCTAAAAGTCATAAAGATGTGATCATATTTCAAACACAATGTCAACTATCCACATGATCGAATTCTCAACCTTCCTTTAGAAGTAGTGACTTCAGCAAAGGTATCTTCTAAAGAACACACTCAAGTTCACCTATTTAACTAGTTTTGACTTAATTTAGAGTGCTTTATTAGCAAACAGTGTAAGACAAAGTAGCTGGTATAATACAGAGTGATGTTTAAATTAGTTTACAATTTGCTTGGCCTCATCGAGAACTGCACTGAACAAAGCCATTCAGAAATGTCAGCTGTGTTCCTAACCACTGTAACAAATTGTCGCCCAAACGCTGCACACCTAATGACTTCAAATTAGCTTCACTGCGATAGCGCCTGACAGTTCGTTACGACTGTTAGCAACATAGCTGGCGTATCATGACCAATAAATTGGTTTCAGTGTGGGCTGGGAAAGGGACTTCCATCAATTTGATTAAAGAAATTACTGTAGCATTCAAAGCATAAAGACAAACTAGTTTAAGGAGACAGGAGTAAGTTAACTGTACCAGAAAAACACTGCTCATCATTCAAAAACTTGTTTAGAAACTATTTGAAGATCAAAGTTCAAACAAACAATCCAAAAATAATTCAAGGAGAGTACTAAAATTTGCAAAACTTAGGATGGGGTATATGTTTATGGATATTATAAGATGAGTTAAGAAAAACATAGGACCTTTAAAAATATAACTTTCAAGGTACTACATGAATAAATTTACAATTTCATCAATTTAACACTACATCATTTATGTATAAATTTCTAGTAAATATTTAATTGTAAACCAGAGCTAAGCTTGTGAATATGAACAGCAATTCAGTATAAATAGTTGCCATGACCAAAAAATTAAATAATAAAATGATTCTATAAAAAAAAGGTACATTAAACTATTGCTAAAAAGAAAAAAGCAGAAGCATCTCCTTAGGAGAAAGCTCAAAATCGAAACAGCAATAAAGAAACATTTGAAAAGCTATATCCTCTTTACCTTATGTTGGCAACAGTACCTTCATACATGAAAAGATAATTAGCAAGAGTTCAAGGTGAATATATATACAAAAATTTATGGTTCTTTTAGGATCAAGAAAGCTTCACATTAAGTATGATGGAAACAAAAGGAAAGGTTGAGGGCCTCCCCTGGTGGTGCAGTGGCCGAGTGCTGGGTTGTGAGTCTGCCCACAGCCTCTGCAGAGCCAGTTCAATCCCCGGCCACCAGTGAGGGTCCCCCACAAAAAAAAAAAAAAAAAAGGAAAGGTTGAATAATATCCTAAGAGGGACATTTGAATCTTCCTAAATCTACATGTATGACCTAGAGAATTTTCATTGCAACCTTTTCATTTTTTTATCCTGTTGAGAAAATGTACCTGGAATATGCTTTGCCCATCCGATGATGACCACCAACTCTCGGTCGGCCAAGTCGCACAGAGTAGTGAGGGCTTTGATGTCGCTGTCAGGGACGGTGGGGTCAGGCATGGCATAGATCTTCTCCGGTTCAGCCACCAACAAATGTGAGACAATCTTGTTATCTGCAGGGTCAGACCAGAGCACTACAAGATCACTAGTAGTATTATCTCTCTTTCACAAATCCTAAAGTATGTTGTGTTTTCAAAAGTAATTTGAATCGCTTACAATAAGCACCAAATACTCCATATGTGGTTCAATATGTATATATTAAACAGTGTTCAGGAAAACTCATAGTGAAAACTTAGCCACACCAGTCATAATAGAAAGTATTCCTTTCTTCCTCTTTGCTCTACCTGCCTTGACCTGAATAAAGCATCGGTCCTGCAATGAAATTTTTTTATAGCAAACAGATAGGACAAGTTAGTTGCTTTCTGGGTGTGCGCTTTGATTTTTAAGTGGGACGTGGGGAGGCAGATTAAATAGTATACCACAACTTGAAAATAAAATCCACAATGAAGCATTGAAATATAGACTATAACATGGGAGGCAAAGAACTACTAATGCCCATAGTCATAATAATGGGCAAGAAAGTCATTAATTATCTTAATTCCTTTAAGGAAGACCAAAGGGCAGAACCCTTCTGCCTGGGTGAATTACTGACTATATAACTCTATCTCTGTGGGATGCATTAAATAGGAATTTCTTTCCTTTCTCTCCCTCCCCACACACCCAACCAATCTTCCAAATATAACCAATAGTAGTTTCCAGAAAAATACTCCTACTTAATGGCTATAGCATTTTCTCTCTGGAGTGTCTAATTCTTTTATTCTCTATTCTCATCTGTTGTCTTTAGTTCATTCTCTGGTTCAGATTTATCTGTCTGAAATTTGTGATATATGTTTTGAAAATCCTTCATAAAATAAGCACTAGAGACAAATGGAAAGCATCACATCAAATGTGTTTTATTGCTTAGGGGCATGTGAGAGTTTATGGAAGGGGTTTTAAAGTCTTGTGAACGGAATGATGTGTTTTGTTGGCCCTATTTCCAATTTCCACATGTAGCTCTGCATTTTATGCTTTCTTCTAAGTGAGGAGCTACAAATGGATAAGAACAAACCCAAAATATTTCCAGGTTCTATGTAATATTACTTTAGAAAATTAGCATATTAAAGTGGGTTCTTTAAGAGCAAAGTCCAAGATTTCTCTGTTTTCTAGACACATTCTTTTCATAGTAAGTTTGTAACTTTTTAATTCAAAATAAAAAGACTGCATATACCTCAGAATTAAATAAAATAGCATTAATTTTATCCCCTTTAATTAAAAAAACAAAACAAAACATGGGGACTTACCCAAGCTATAATCAGCAATTTTTCTGACATCTTTTAGAAATGTATCACTATGGCTGCCAAATGAAGTATATATATTACAAATAATAGATTTATTGGCAGAAATAATAAATTCTCATCAAACTGAAAATATAGACTTTGGAAGAAATATTCACTAATTTTGTAATTTCTTAACAAAAAAGTTCAAATAAAACAGATTTTTTTTTTAATCTGCAAAGATCTGCAAGGAATGGCATTGGTTTCTTAGAAGCGCAATAAGAAACAGCACCCTGTGTTTTCAGTTACGCTTGGGGAAGTTTTAACTTTCATTGCTCTGACAATGCAACAAAACCTGTCAGCAACACCTAGATTCTCAGGATTAGAAAAAAAAAAAAAAAAAAAAGCAATCATAAAAGGCACAAAAAATATAACCCAAGGAAATCTTAATTCTAGTTCTTTTAGTACTGGAAAATGGTATCTGTTTCAGCCAAGTCCATGGAGACTTGTCTGGAGGGCTCAGAGAAATTCAGTTGAAGCTTAGAAATCTTTCCCATCATTCAGAAAATGGAAGGCCGGCAGCACTGTTTCTAGGTAAGTCTTATTTAATGTTTTACTAATTAGAATCAATAGGACCCAATTTTCATTCTTGGGCTTTTGTAACACGCCATCAGTCAGGGCCCAGAAATCTCCCCCAGCCAGTTCCTCAGCAAAGCCCATGCATGGTCTCTTGACACTTATCTGACAGGATCTGAAAATTAAGTTTTATAAATGTTTGTTACGAAAACACACTAATTGGATGGACTAAGGAAAATTAACACAGAGGCCTTGAGATAATGAGTAATGATTTATTAGGAGTCCTCTTTATCTCAGACAAATGGAGCTCACTGAAATTGCAGTAATCTTCTTAAAGGTACTTGACAAGCCACTTCCCAATTTCCCAGGTTTACGCAAAAAACCCTAGATATTTCTCTAGCATGTGAACTTACAAATTGGCTCGTGTTCATTTTTCTCTCAGAGGGAATTATCAATGGTTTCAGTCCATGTTTGTATGAAGTGAGTGAGGAATGGGCAGTCTGTATATTATTGAATGCAGGAAAATGAAACCTCTAATGAAATTAAGCATTAGTGTTTATTGCATTTTATTCTATTATCAGAAAGTTTTTTATTATAATGTGCAAAATCTGCTTAATGCTGTCCTAGAGTATATTTGCAGAATCCCAAACAGCTTATGCAGCAGAGGAGAAGATGCCAGATTGGACAATTGAAGGTATAATCAACATAATGTTATTTGGAAAGGCAAAAGGAAACTATGCCATATGTTCACTTAAGCTTTAATTTTATGTAAAACTGGTTGTTTTTCCTTTGACATAGCTAAAATGTCCTTTCGTTTACAGTTCAGAGTCTGTTTTATTTATTTAACGGATCCCCATATGCTCACACGTATGATGCACGGCAGTGACCCCTCCTGGAGAATGGAAATTAGAAGAGGACACTTTTTCTCTTCCCTTGAAAGCAGATCAGAAATCACCCATGTCTTTTCTAGAACTGCTATAGATGCAGTGTCTTCTGGGGAGTGCAGCTGTGTCTTTGAGACCAAGACAGCTGCATATGAGAAGTTTTCAGCAAAGCACTTCTCAGGGCCTGGCCTGCACCCTATGCAAAAAACATCCTACCAAGCTAACTCTGGCATTATTATAGCTCTGAACTGATTTTCTCAATAAATGCACTATGTCCATGGTTGCCTCAGTCTACACTCTAGCTCCTTTTAGCTAATGACAAAGAGAATGGGGCTTGCACAGCATCAATATTCCCGTGATTCTTTCAAATTGTGCCTTGGCATTATAGAACCCAGGGCTCCTTTGAAACAATTCATCATGCCCATCAGGGCATCTGAGATGGAACCACCAACCTATGCTTGTTATTAGTAGGCCTATTCTCATTTTAATCTATTGCTAGCTAGTGTGTTAACCTTCTATAGTTCCAAATTAATGAGGCTCCTAATGTATTTTCATTGGGAGGTTGAGCAGTCATTTAGTTAGTGAAAACCACAAAAATCACTTTCTTGTGAAATCTGAAATGAACAGCTTCAATGAACTAATGATCACAGTATGATCCATTTTATGTACCTCTGAAAAGAAAGATAATCGGTAAATGTAAAATTCACACTATGTAAGCTATGTCTCAATATGCTTACGCTTTCACGAAAATAGGTGAAAAGAGGTAAAGGCAGGGGGAGGAAAGCCACAGGGGGTAAAAAAGATAATTAGCTGAGGCTGCTGTAGCTTCTCACAGGCAATCTTGGGAGCAGAGCCACAGCCCCCCAACAAAGAGAAGTTTCCTTGGAGTCAACAGGGATGGCCATGCCAAAGAGGATGTACCTGGAGCCAACTGGGAGGAGTTCATGTGCTGGAGAGCCAGACCCATCTGCTGTACTTACATGGCTTTTTGGCTGGCTGAACCAGCTGAGGGTTCAGGTATGGGCTGTTCTCTGCATCTATTCTGCGCTTGTACTTCTGCCGACCGCCACGTACTCTGTCCAGACGCACCCCTGTGGGGAAAGAAACACACCGGCTTACTGCCGAGGTAGTTAACACTGAGACCATCCATTACAAAGTCAGCATCGCCAAGGATCATGATGGAGACAGACAGCAGATTACAGAATGGTCTGGGGGTCCTAGAGCAGTATAAATAAGTGTCCTGGTTAAACCAAGATTGCCAGTAGTTGGCTACCAAATCTGGCAGAGCATACCAAACCTGAAAGATCATGAAAAATCACATTTACCCATCAAAGAAAAGACACAAAAGTCACATTTCCAGGTGCTTTAATGCAAAAACAACAAAAACAAAAACAAAACCCCTGTTATTTGGTGCTAGGAAAGTTATATATATATATATATATATATATATATATATATATAAAGATTTATATATATATAAAGATTTATTTATTTATTTATTTGTTTGTTTGTTTGTTTATTTATACAAGAACCAGAGTACAGGCCAGATATGCAGGAGGGTGAGAGGATTCACCAGAGACAGAGCAGGGAACAGAACAGGCAGAAAGACTGAAATACACTGCTGAGGGGGAGCAGCGGGCGAGACAGGAGAGGTCTGCCACACCATGTGGGATTCTCGCCGGCTGGCTGGGATCGAACCAGCCCTGCACAGGCTGTGGACACAGCACTGCGCTCAACAGCCTGCACCACCAGGGGAGGCCTCAACTGGAGAGTTTCTGATTAAAGACATTGATTTATGTCCATTTATCAATCACCCCTGAAAGTTCAAAGCCATAGGTCTGTGTATCCCAGTAGTCTAAGCTAACCAATCCTCCCTGTCTACCAGAGGACTGTGTGCTGTGGAATGAACCAGGGCAGAGCTGATTTACACCACACAAGATGAGAAGCCACTGTTGTGCCCTATGATAGTGCCAACATAAGGAAAAAGTTTTTGGCCCATATTCTTTCACATGAAAGGAATGGAGAGCAGATTTGAACTGAACGCAGGATAGAAAGAGGATCTTCCTAAAGGAATTCAGAATGCTAGGATGCTGAGGTAGGGACATGCTGGGGCATGAATTGGAGGGTGTAGGTAGGAATCTGGGACAAGTAGACTGGTACTTAGCAATATTTTATTCTGAAGAATGATGCTTGGGTCATGATCCAGGGAGTTTTTGCTAGCAGTGGATTTCAGAAATTAAGGGGAGGGGGGGAAAGGCCAAAGGGAAAGAAAGGGATTAAAAATAAAGAAGCAGTTCACTTTTATAGGGGAATAGTGGGGGATAGCTTGTTAATAAATTGGTTTTCAACTTGTAATTATTAAGTTTTGGAAAGAGCATAAACTTCTTTATCAAGTAAAGGTGAGGTTACTTGGGAATAAGCAAGCAGAGAGAACCTTCATAGAGTGCGAAGTTGTATCTTAACTGATAAAACAGTGGAATGTTATTCATTGGCATTCATTATCCATTTTAACCAAATCATTTATTGTGCAAATTTTTGCAATTCACAAACTGTTTAGCAAATAGATTTAGTGTAACAGCATCATTGGAATGATCATTGTCCTAAAGAGGCTGGGCTCTCAGAGTCTGTAATAATATGCACACAGATTCTCTTAAACTCTAAGAGGGAGATACAGCCCATAGAATGTGTGCAAACCAGTTTAAGATTTATTTTATTTATTCCTACAAGTACTGGGTACAGTCAGAAGCACAGGAGGGTGAGAGAATTCACCAGAGCCAGTGAGGGGAACAGAACAGGCAGACAGCAAAGAACACTGCTGAGGGGAGCAGCGGGAGGCAGAAGAGGTCTGTGGGACACTTGCCCGGCAGCCAGGGATTGAACCGGCGCTACAGAGGCTGCGGGCAGCTTCACAACCCAGCACTCAACCGCTGCACCACAGGGGAGGCCCATACCAGTTTAACCAAGAATCCTGCTTAGGGGAATACTTATTAATATCACATGGGAAGTATGAGCTGTGGGCCATCTGAGATATCTGAAACAGTTTAGGGAAGGATGACGTATTTCCAAGTGAATCCTAGGAGAACACACACAAAGATTACTAATGATCTACCAGATAAAGAAAAACATATTATTTTATATTTTCTTAATTATACTATTTTAAAAATGTATTATATTTTAATGAAACACACAAATACAAACTTAGCTCAAGATAAAGCCTGAAACATCTACTGAAACAGCAGAGAGCAGTTTAAATGAAATGAGACGATTTCAGAGAGCTAGAAATATCAGGACCCAAAAAAGTTAGGTACAGTGTTTCAGTATTTATGAAAACAGCAGTATGTGTGAGTCACAAAGAAGCTACATTTCTTTCCCGCTGTTTTTAAAACATATTGTGTCCACAGAGAGCCTTACTCCTTTGTTCATCTAATTTCTAACGACTTGTGTTCCTTGTATCTATATTCACTTTACTAAAGCTTCACACTTTCCCCATGTTCCTATGTATTATGCTTTATCTTTGTCATTTCTCCTTTTTGCAGAATTTCCTCCAAGATATATTTCCAGATTTTATAAGGTGGTCACATTCTATCTGGTCAGCTAAGACACACTCAAATTTGTTTCATTATTAAGAGCTGAAAAAAGCAAAAATCACATTAGAAAGTTAGAAGCATAAACCACTCATTGAATCCTTACTCTATCGAACTCCAGTCTAGTGGGAACACTGATCTGTACATGATGAGAGGCGTGGGGAGAAGGCAGGCAGAAAGAAAGATGATAGAAGATGATAAATGGGAAAAAAAGCGGGGGGAAACACATTTTGGACATTTCTGAAATTGTTAGAATCAGGAGAACTTAGAGAATAAATCCTGATTATGTTTGTGGACTCCTAAATTTACTTTTGCTGTTTCCAGGGAATGCATTAGCCAGTGGCAACATATCCTCCAAGCCCCAAACATGGAGCCATCCAGTATAAACCGTCCAACACAGAAGTCAGAGCTAGTGGGGTTCAGATGATGGGTTTTGTTCATCATGAAGGCCTCAGGACCAAAATCAGGGCTGGAAGAGTTGATTTCAGGTCCTTCATAGAAATAAATCTGACCCCCCAGACCTGGCACACTATAGACACCAATCAGCTTACCCACACAGCAGGAAGGGCACGTCTAGGGAAGCGACAACTAAATACTCACAGCATGAAGAAAATAGACACACTCTTCAAACAGCAAAACTTATGTATGATGATGAGTTATTGCTTTGTATTTGTAGGGAGAGAGAATCTTTAAGTATTATCAAATAACTTTAGTCCTGTGCATTTCTTTTCTGTTTTGAACACTAACTTACAGAAACATTCATACTTTCTCCATGCATCCCCCAAATCTCAGGGACTGTTCTGATGCTTATGCTCATTCTCCTCCCACCCCCGCTATCTTCTTCCCTGTGTGTGGTTATATTAGAATAGCAAAAGAAATCCAAATTTGATCACAAAGAAGTCTGCTTTCCCTGAGTCCAGCCATAAGCACATAATTTAAAGGTAAGTAGAGAATTCACAATTACCCAATTAACCAAATACATTTAAACGTCTCAAACTATTTTAGAAAGGAATGAAAAACAATATTTATCATCAGGACCTGGGAAATCGAGATTTGCCATAAACCAACATTAATCTAATCCAAATATTTTCACTGTAGGTGACAAAGCCTGCCCCTTAACATCTCTGCAATCTTCAATACAAATAGTTTTTGTTTTGACTTTACCTGTAAAGCAGTTTTGAAAAAGTTAAAAAAAAGATTTCTCTTAGGAAATAAGATATCCACAATGTTCAGCGTTTGACAGGATTTTAAGTTAATTAAGGCAACTGGATTTTCTATTCATGTGGAGACTGCCATTATCTTTTTTTTAAACACAGAATTTTAATAGTTGGCACTACCTACCAAGTAGAATGCTTCATATTGCTGCTTCTTTCAAGTGCTGTCTTTGCCTACACTGTCACAAGGGAATTACAAATCTTATACATTGTCAGAATTTACAAAATTGAGAAAGCAAGAATAGGGAAGGAGGAGGGGGAAATGCTGTGAAGCAAATAAACACCAAAAGAAGTAAAAAGAGTTCAGCGGAAGGTCTTCCTAGGTCAGCTAATTTTAAGTCTACATTTTATACCCAAATGCAAATTTTATAATATTATAGAGACCAAAGTCAAAGTATTTTTCACTTTTGTAACAGCACAAAGTCAGAGGCATTCACTGGATAATAAAAGCCCCCCTTCCAATGCTCATCACTACTTTTTCTAAACTAAAGATCAGCCCTATATAATGTTATTTCCAAACAAAGGTTCGTTAAAAAAAACATTAATTTCATAGACCTCCCCCCCGTAGACTTAGGAAAGATACAAACTATCACATTAAAATAATGATGATTTGCAAAAAGATAGTGAATTAAGACAAACACCATATTATTTCACTCATAAGTAATATGCAGAGAAAAAAAACAGATGGAGAAAATATCAAAAATAAACTTTTGGACTTTAAGCCCAATTAGTGGTTCCCAGGAAGGAAGGGATAGGGGGCAGGTGAGTGGGGAGAAGTGGACATAATGAAGGGTGGAACTGGAATTTTGAGGAGGTCCTTGATAGAGTATGTGCATATGGTGATTCTCACGGAGGCACATCTGGAATTTCCATAATATTCTAACGCAAGGTGACCTCAATAAAAAGGAAAGGAGCACTTTTGGCCTCAAACTGGCCCACAGTCCCCAGAGTATGACTTTTTAGCTCTCAGGGGTCATTATCACTCTATTTTAAGGGTTTCTAAAAATGAAAATGACAAAAAAATTAGTGAATTTAATGAGTACCAAACGAACAGTTGTATTAAAATAATGTTATCAGACCTGGCTTGTAATTGAGCATTGGGAGCAGAGGGCGGGGACTCTGCAGCTGTGCTTTCTTGATATTGCAGATTCCTCTGCTTCAGGAAACCTGATTCCTTCTCTTTAGGAAAAGAAGTACCTGGCAGTGCCCTGAACTTTCTCCTGAGATTTCTGAGGCCACTGTCATGAAAAGAAGGTGGAGAAATCCCTTTGAGGAACCAGGGGACAAAAAAGC